CGAAGTCGAGCCCCCGGAATAAAGCCGCCACCGAAAGATCCCAATCGGATTGTTGTGAGATCGCGAGGCTTCGAAGATGTTGAAGGGCGGGCCTTGCTCGAGGGTGTTCTTGTGTCGAGGTATTGCAGTCGTTCCTGAAGTCGTAAACTTAGATATCACGGCCTCATTTTCTGATTGAGCGCCTTCTCGATAGCTGTGTTTTGAATTAATACCAATGCTCCCTTCTTGAAATCAAAATCTCAAATCGTAGCTGCGTGATCGGTCTCGAATTGCTGTGCTGCGGCTCAGCGTGCTTCATACACCTTCGAGTGTAGCTTGGAGATTTGTTTGACGCGTTTCTGTAGCGCGATCGCTCGTCAGGCTATAAGGTCTGTAGTCGAAAGCATTGAGAAGGGCGGCGGCTGTATATAGGTCGCTTCAAGGATGTCTAGAGGTATTATCAGGTGGGTCCCGGTGACTGCGAAGTACGGCGAACAGCCCATTCTGTGCCTAATCGTGATGCGTTCCGACCAGAAGACCGAGTAAGCGACCTGTGACCATTTGTTCTGCTCACTGTCGGCTGCTTTGTATAAGGCCTGCCTGACATCGAAGTGGGGTCGTTCAACGAGTCCATTCATGCCGGAATTGTAACTGCTAATTCAAATATGGTTAATATTGTACTTCGTCGAGAGGTAGTACGCGGCTTTTATGAACGGGGCACCATTGTTGGTTACGATTTCGGTGAGGGCACCCCATCGACATAGGAAGTCTTCGAATATCCATTCCGCGATGGCCTTCGATGTTTCGTTCCGAAGCATTCTAAACTCGGGATATTGTGTCAGCGAACATTGACCTTGTACGAGATACTTATATCCGCCCAAAGCTGGCATGTGCATCGTGTCGATGTGTACTTTCACAAAGATTGGAGCTGGTGTCACGACAACTGGAGGTATTAGGATCTGTCAGACCTGTCTTTGCTGGCAGAGGTGACAACTTCGTACAAACCATGCGATATCGGTGTTGTGGTTTGGCCACCAAAATCGCTCGGAGACCAGTGATCGGGTTGCAAAGATGCCTCAATGGCCCACCTTGTCGTGGCACTTGCAGAGGATTCGAAGGCGGTCGGCTTTTCCTATCACAAGTTTGTGCACTCCGTGGGTGTCTTTGCGCCATAGCATTTTACCGTCGAGGAAGAAGTGTAGGCAGAACTTGATAAATCCTTCGTACGCACTATTGCTGAGGCCGGGTGGTCGTACCAGAGTTCGGAGGAATTGTTGAACAGCTTTGAGCTTCTCGTCGGCGCTGTGCAGTGCGCTCGATCTCAGAACGATGCTGTAGTCATCCTCCTCCCCATTGAAATTTTGACTGCCCTCGGTCAGCTCGTACGTGGAGACAGTTCAGAGCCACGCAGATGGAGGGGTCTGTACCTGGTGAATAAACGAGTGTAAGTTATCAATCCAATCATCGAAGTTGTCATCGTCGTCGTCGATGTCACCCAGTTGGCGCAGTCTCCTCGAGAGACTGTCAGGCCCATGCATCGTCCCAGGAACGTGGACAAGTGTGAAATGAAACGTTAAAATGGAAACAATCCACCAATTGACACTCGCACTGGGCGCGATGTCGGGATTTGCGAGCATACCCTTGATATACCTAGCATCGACCTCAATCACCAAGTTCTGAATGCTGATCAAATACAAACAAAGGGTTCGGAGCACTCAAAAAAGGCCGTAAATCTCAAGCTTCGGTTGTGAGAATCGCCATTCCCGATTGTTAAGCATAATCAAACCAAATCGGCTATAATATCAGAGTCGGGTGTTGGCCTTGTCGGTCTGGCAAAGGTGATATCCAACGGTGATATACAAAGTGTCAACCGCCATAATGACTGGAGCTGTGGAGTCGTAGTTGATCACACGCAGCGCTGGTGAGTTGAGCAATGCGTCCTTGAGATCCTGTTGGGAAGCTAATTGCTCGGGACCGAACTCGAAGTCCGCATCCTTTCGCGTTAGTCAAACGAGGGGTTCTGCATGATGCGCGAAGTTACGAATTAATATACGTACGACTCCGATGATTCCAAGAAATGCTCGAACGTCGGAGAGTGTCTCGCAGGGTCCCCAGTTTCGGATAACTGCGACTCAAGACTCATTGGGTAGCCGTCCCTCTGGCGTGCATCAATGCCCGACCACCATGATTTCCCGCACAATCAGGACACTCTTCGGTCCCGAGAAGGTGCCACCAGTGTAGCGCATCCGAGTAACCACTTGATTGAGGTTCTCGAAGTGCTCCCATACGAATCAATGAATCCCGTTGTTCTCGAGGAGTCGTTTGCCTCCGTAATCCGTCTCAGGGCCTTTGATTGGAACATCGTCGATGTACGGGATCGTAATTTTGGGAATCTCGGGCTGCAGGATGTAAGTGACGTCTTTATAGAAGATTGGAACTGAGTTTGTCCAGCCCATTGGCAACATTCGTAGGCAAAGCGCACTGTATGGCAACTGAAACGTGGTGAGGTCTCTCGATTTCTCCGCTATAAGGTGTTCGTCATAGCCTACGAACAGGTCAAGCATTCCCCCGCAGGGTCGGCCGCCAAACTGTTTGGTGAGATGTTCGGGTGTCGGAGGAACTCCCGAATGTTGAATTATGACTGCGTTAAGGGGTTTGAGACTGTGAACAATGCGAAGTACTTTACCATCCTTTTTAACCACGCAAAACCATCTTGATCAATATGACGAGTTTGAGGGTTCGTATACCCCTGTGTCGAGCTTTCGCTTCACCTGTGTGCAGACCTCGTTGTATAGTCCGGGAGGAATCGGGATGTTCTGTTGGACCCAAGGCGTGTGCGGAACCACTGGAATCTCGACTGGGGGGAAGTAAGCTGGTTTAAAACAGCCTCTCTCATTATCGGTCCACGCGAAGGCGTCGTTGTGTAGTGACATGAAGTGATGGATGAGCTCGCGCTCGGCCAGCAGAAGAAAGTCCCCGCCGTGCAATTTGTCGGACATTTGTTTCCGCTCCTCGGTGTATCGGCCGGTAGGCATGAACGGTGGCGGGTGCTTCGAGAGTGTCGGCATAGTCTCCAGGGGATCGCCCTTGATGTCGCGACAAATATGAAACTGTTTGTTGACGGCCTCGAGGACTGGCCGAGTCTTCAAGGCCACTGGTTTATACTTCTTCTTTGTGCCTGCAAATGATTCGTATATCGGTTCTTTGTCTTCATTGTTGCTGTCGTCATCTACGGGCATCAATTCTGGTAAGTCCAAATCAAACGAAACGGTATCGTAGGAGTTCTGGGATTTTATCGGGGCATTTACGAGGTTCGGAGAAGAAATCGACGAAATATCGTAAGGCGAAACAGAAGGAGAAAATGACGATTTTGAGGTTGCACTAGGTGCTTGTGAGGAAACAGAGATACTATGAGGAACTACTGGCCGAGACTCGGGAATCGGGAAATCAGCGGCTGCTAGAAAGCTCGAAGCCCAAGTTGCAGCATCGGTGGATGCGCTCGAGGTATTCGAGGCGTCTTTAGTGTACAGAGACTGTAAGTAAGGAAAAACATTATCACATGCAGAGAGATAGAGAGTAGGAATAGTCTGTTCATTCTGAATCGAGGGTATTGGGGCGTACAAAGTTATATGAGGATCCCTGGTGTCGTCATACTCGATTACCACCGCCACTTCGCCTTGATCGTTCATCAAGTCCTTGAAGCACGAAAACCCTCTTGTTCGCCCATGAATCGGGGCTTGCCTCGGGGCTTCGTTGGGATGGTTGTAGTTTTGCCTGAATTTGGGCAGATGAGGGTGATCGTTTGATCTTCATTGCCAAAGTTTTTCACGATGCTCTGTGTGAGGATGTTGAAGGGTCGTCCGAGGAGAATGTCGTAAGCTGCGTTGCGAATGACATGAGCCAAGGGACTGGTCCATGGTCCCGTTTGCTGATTGCATGTTTAGCTTGATTGAAGGGTCGTAGGCTAGTCCGAGTGCATGGCATATCTCTTGCGACATAGCGATGATCTGCGAACCAGGATCGACAATGCATTCGACATGCTGCTGGTTGTCGATTAATGCTTCAATGCAATGGATGGCGTTCAATTCCTTCGCAACTGTGAGATTAGCTCCAAGCACCCCATTCGGAAGGCACTTTAGATAGCTCTTGTAGGGATCGGGTAGAATAGTAGCGTTGGGACTTAGCAGATCTCCATGACAAGTGAGCGAATGTACGTCGATCTTCGAGACCGTTTCGTCGGGAACCTCCTTGATTCAAGCGGATAGGAAGGCCTGCGGCTTGTGCTGTACACGTCGAGGGGTCACCAGGTCGCAATATTTCAATCGTAAGTCGGGCGAGATAGAAAGTAATTCCTCCGGTGACAACTGTTAAGGGACCTAATGACTGAGGATCAGGAGTTCAACTGTTAAACTGT